CACGCACAGCACTCGATGTGCTGTGCGTAACATGTCAGGCAAGTGACGGGCCTACATTCTACATTACCTACATTAGCATTCTGAATCAACCTCAAGAAGGTGGCTGCTGCAGATGCCCAAGAACACTACAACAGCTGTCTTGAGCTGTTCGATGCTTTTAGGCTGCCTTTGCAAACGTTGCGCGTTGCGCGGCCGCGCTATTAAAAAGTTGGAGGGGCTGACTTTTGGGAAATAGGGAACTCAATCATCAGCTTCAGCTTCACCTTCAGCAAGACCATCAAACAATGACGTACTGAGAAGCACTTTACAAACTTTCAAATTTACCTATTTAGGATGGTGTTTAAAGCTAGCAAGCTTACCAATAATTAAAAGCAAGTTTTCCCCGTCATATGCGATGCTTATCTCAATATCTTCAAATGTGGACCATTCCCTTAAAGCCGCACTATTCACCAATGTTTGTCCGCACTGAAGGCTCACCAATATTTGTCCGCAGTATGGTTGTGAAAAACGCAATTTCATCCACGTTAGTTCCTTGTGGACTGGGTCGGTCGTCCATGGAGATCATAAACCTTGTTCCAGCTAAATGTCTTTGGCGACCAAACGGGCCACTAGGCGGCCTGTGAACCCCAATGGCTAGACGAGCACTTGGGCAGCTAGAAAGGCTCCCGAGCGATAAGCGGTGTCCATTAGTGACCGGTGAGGTTTTCGGCTACAAGTGGTGCCCCTCTGCAATTAAAGGCAAACGCTGCCAGCCAGGGGCTGTGCAGTGAAGGGGCCCTTGGTGGCAAAAGAGCAGGGCCAGATGACCTGGGCCAAAGGCGGTCAGAGCGATCACTGAGAGGCTCCTCTGAACAGCCCCTGGCGGGTGGCGTTTGTCTCTGATTGCTCCGAGGTCCCTCTTACAAAACCCTGTAGTGTTCAGAACGAACCTTGAATAGCCAGAGAGCAGAGTGTAGCTATAAGGCTCCTTACGGCTGTCTCTGGTGACCAGGAATAGCACACTGTACGGCCAGATGGTCTCTCAAGGTAGTCAAATGGGAAGCACTGAGCATCCAAAGATAGTGTTGTTTGAAATATCGGAACTTTCAGCTACTAGTTTGGCAAACAGTTCCAACATTATAGGTTTTCTGGGGCTCAGGGGTCCGACACTGGTCCCCGCCTCTCAACGAGATTTCGAGTCATGATTGCGTGGATCTGCTGAGACTAAGTTACCGTATATGGAAAGGCAGCGTAGGGGGGAGGGGGGGGGGGGGCGCTGCCAGCCAGCCCCCCTCTGTCTCAGTTTGCCATAGCTGCCCCCTGACAGAAAGTCAAAACATCGGTGTGATGCCTATTTACAGAGCTCCGCCCTCCTCCGTAAGGAAATCCTCGTTGCACCCGTGCAGCGTAGTCATGATTATAGTTATGCAACCGGGGACCGGTTGAATACCGTTTGCTCGAGTGGGAGGTCAATTTGACCCCTTGAAATCTCAACAAATAAGACTGCTAGAGAAACCAAATCTACTGGGAGTGTTGGCCTGCATGTGAACGCATTGGTGTCAAAATTTGAGGTTCCTAGGTCAATACCTTGGAGTCAAATGAGGTCAAACAAGATAACAAGATTCAAGCTGGGTATCAAAAACTACTCTTAAGGCAAACATCTTCTGGTTTTTCTCCTAGAAATGAGGCCATTGCTACCGCATTAGCTATGTCAATCGAAATTGTTGTAATTCTAAATCCAGTTGGTGTGTTACCTAATAAGCTATCTCAGAGACGTATGGCTTCGTCTAACTCTCCGTTGTCGCATCAGATTGAATGATTCTCTAGAAATGGCCTTCGGCAAAGGCTTTACTTTAACCTGCCATACGTCAGTGACCTTGCAAGATATATCGAATTTACTCGTGCTTGATGATCTGCTATTCAATTGCCTACAGCTATGCAAAGTTTGGTGCGTCTACACTGCTCTGTTCGAAGGTCATTCTGTAAAAAACTTAGGATGATCAAACTGTCCCGCTCCCCACCCGAGCTTCTGTTTAGAAGTACAAAGTGGCCCAAATAAAAGCTCACCCATGCTTCCCTTAACAACAGGAAGTGCAGTTGTCTGGCGTTGTATCGCACTTTATCAGTTCATTTTACATTGTTGGGCTTTTATCAGACCTTCATCAACAGGATTTCAGAGAACAGGATCTCAGAGCAAAAATATATTAGACCTTCGTTGAAAATCCAAATTGAGACTCAATTAGGGGTGCAGACGGCCGACAGCGGGCATGCGGGGACAATCACGCGCCCGGTTGGAGGGCCCGAAGAGCTCGAACGGCCGCCTAGAGGCCTTATTAAGGGGCTCCAGTCCGCGGGCCGTCAATTATAAGTCGGGGTGAGATATTGAGACGATATAGACGGTCAGGGACTACCCATACTGAGGCAGCTCCGTGTCGGTGCAGGCTTTGGGCCCCTTTCCCAGACAGGGACAAGGCGGGGCCCGCGATGGTCCTGAAAATCTCGCGCATCGGTCAGGGCCCCTGACACAATACATGCCCTTTGCATCAGCCAGTGGCCAACAGTGCCGAGCAGAGATCCTGCGTTGGCGCCGTCTGCGGTTGTCCCGAGCCACCTGGCCGACACAACGCACCAGGGCATGGTCAGCACGCAGCTGCTAACGTCGAGCCATCTGGCGGGCAACGAAATGCGTGATGCAGGTGTGTGCTCGAAAATGAGCATGCGCATAGCATTGAGCATGCAAACTTGAAGCTTCTTACGAACACAGCGTTAGTTCTTTTTGTGTTGTTTTCCAATCTGAGTTGAGGCGTGGACTTCGAGGGATAGCTTCCGTTTTTGGCTAAGTCGGCATACAGTTCAACTGAAATTCTACCATCGTGTCCAGTTTTTGACCATATGAGTGCAACGAATGACTTCTCCAATCGCGTTGGAAACTGAGGCATAGGAACATGGGCATAAGAGACATACAGGGTTGAGGTATATAGAGGCACCAGGCGAGCACAGAGTAAGAGACCAGGGCTCTGTTTTGACTAGCTGCGTGAGTGGTTTTGGTTAGGAGATCGCGCAGAGTCAGCGCTTACTTCAGCCGGACCAGGGGGTCAGCACGCTCCGCCTCACGCTCATCACAACCACCTGCCCGTCCAAGCGGTCGTCTAGGTCACGCTGTCAAAGTATCCCCGCCTGCTGCAAAAACCGTCGAGAGAATCTGTCTCACGTGTTGAACCGGTTTATGCGTGCCTTCGGCGCGCACCGGTGGCAGTGCATCTCCATCATATGGCGCATCTCGGAGGCGGCGCGCTGGGCGGAGGATGGGATGATCCAGACCCAGCCGCCCCCCGCACCGCGTGAGAGCACAACTCCCCCCCCCCCCCCCAGATCGTCTCCTAACCCCGGGGACGAAACGATCGTCGCGGAATTCATCGCGACCTTCGACAGTGGCTTCTGGCGTTGGTCGAAGCCCGTCACAGCAGGAAGCGCCAGGGCCCACAGTAAAGCGACAGGCGCTGCGAGTCCGTGTGGAGGCACTGGTGATGGAATCGTTCTGCTTATGGGATCCCGTCAAAGAGCGAGAGGGTGCAGCCAGAGGGTCCCGTCAGAAGAGTGTGCAGTCAGAGGGTCCCGTCAGAAGTGGGGGTGGGCACCCGACGTACTACAGCCAGTATAGGAAATGATCATGTTTTAGCTGTCGTCAACTCTTTAAGTAAATTGTGTGCACCCCTAGGTCTTTCATCCAAGATTTCGATGTTTATTCTTATTCACATAGCGTCCGTGCTTGCGGTTGTAACACTTCGCAAAGACGAAAACCACATGGAATGTTTATCGTTCTTTTCCAGCCCAGCGGAAATCCGGTGATTTAGTTTTCGATGCAAGAGATGAAGTCCAGTGCTCGACAACTGCTGGCAAGACTGGTTGCCAGCATCGCGCGAACTCAGCGAGCTTTTCAAACAGATCAGCTGACCGGCGTCAGACTTGTGCTGTTGATGAAAGCTAGAGGCAGAATTACGCTATTTAAATATCTGCCGTGCAGTGGCGGAGGGTCGAAGACGCCGTCTGTCTTAAAATGTTTGTTGCGTTATTCCACTGTTTCAACGGGATGTCAATTTTTATGAAATATGGGGGGGACTTTATGAGATATGGGGGGGGGGGAGGGAAGACAGAAAACGGTAGCACCGTTTTGCACCACTACAAGTGTTTTTAATACTTGTCATTTTGGCAAATGAACTGCGTGCTGTATGTATGCCTTGGTTACATACCAGGTGCGGTGTGCACTTTCAGTTGCAGGTCGTCGCACACATTCGCTGCCTAATACTATCGCGATAGGCTCAAAAGGTAGGAATTCATCTCCTTGTAAAAGCCAGCATCCAAAATCGCTGAGGTGAAAATTGACAATGAAGTTTCGATTTTCTGCTGTGGAGCGTCGGAGATGGCAGACAAAAAGTCACGCTTAGATACGGGATAAGATTGCGTGTTTCCGCTGTGTCCGGCAGAAGGGAGCCAAAACCCGGCGGCAGGCGCTGGCGCGTGCTCGTTCGCCTCCTCCACCTATGCGGCGCTCTGTGGAAGTGCACGGATCGCCCGTCCGAATGGTGGACCTGTGTAGGCCGTGACTGGACTAACAATGAACAGACCTTTCAGCAATGGGCTCACAGTCATCTTTTGGCCGCTGAAGAACCCCGGAGACCAACTGTCTGCACGAAACGTGGTCACTGTGCTGTTTTGACTAAACCAGGACTGTTCTCCCTTGGCGTGATCACCGGGTCTCGATCCGGTTTTCTCCCTGACGTCATCACGCGACCTCGATACTTGTGCTTCCTTGACGTCATCACGCGGCGTTTATCTCGTCTGGAAAGTGGCAGGCGCTTGAAGGCAGTCGCTCTTGTTTGAGTTGGCCAAGGTGACAGCGCTACTTCCCTAACGCGCTGCAAGCCATACGTTGTGGGGTGTCCACACGTCGGTTTGTGACTCCTGTCGAAACTACTTTCAGATGTTCGGAAATTATCGATGTTCATAACGCATTTTGGAGGTCATATTTATTATGGAACTCCTCTGACATGTATTTTAATCCTGCACGACGTGGTATTCAGCGCGGTTGGAATATCAAAATAACTCTGGTCCAGCAGATGCCACGTACCATGCGACACAACAGAACGACAGAGCCCTCTCAAAGATGCTTGGAAAATGCACACTCAGAGGCTGTGGGCCCTCTGTCATGTACGGAATGTAAACTGTCGGGACAGCTGAGGTGCACCGCATGGTAATTTAGTTCTCGACTGACGGCCGCATGACGGGTATACCGTGTCGTGATAACGTGCCTTAAAATGCAGGCATTCGGATGCTGGTGTACCGCTAGAAGGGAAGGTATGCACTGTTTCAACACACAGCCTTGGATGGCTTGACACGAAGTGCGCGCCTTTCCGTTAGCCGGTGCGGGATGAATGCATATGCGGGTAGCGTGAACCAAATCATTTTATCACAGACTTTGCCTCCATGCAGGTTAGGACAGGATAAAGACGAAACGGGCTCTCCAAGACACAGCTCACACAGCTCACCTCTAAAAGACCACGCAATAAATACTATACGATAGATGAACAGATGTGAAATTATGAATGATACACATACACTCATATCTATAAAAAAATCATCATCAGAAAGCTGCGTCAAAACTAGCTAGGGGTTTGAAACAGCTACGTAAGTTGTTCATTTCAAAATAATGTAAAATACAAAGTGTAACAAAACTTAAGCTTAGGTGAGAGAACCATCACGTAGGGCTACTTCGACCCGAAGTAGGCATTTCAAAAACAGGTATTCAGTACTTAACCACCAACTGGCGTCGTACAGGGTTCGCGCGGTGTTTTCAATTCCGTACATAATTTCATGACGGTCACATCAGATAACAAGTTCACTAAATTATGCCGTTACAGTTCCCACCAACCACCACCAACGTTTCGCGCCCGACGTCCGGCATGGAAGCCAGTCTTCGTGTTACTGTCAACAGATGGCAGTAGCTGGTGGTCGTCCGCGTCCCGTTCGCACGCGGTCCGCTCAGTTCGAAGGCTGGAACAGGACGCACGAGAACTGGGTCAGGGGAAGGTTCTAGGTCTACAGCGTAGTGCCAGTGCACGGTAGAAAAGCAGGCCCGATACAGATACGACCCGTGTCCCGGACCGCTCATCGCCCAAAGGACGATCATTGCCAAAAGTCACTACATGCTGCTGACGGCAACGGCAAGTGGAGTTGCACAAATGGGCGAGGGACCTGCGCTCGCGTCCCTGCTGATTCATCACAGCACATAGAGACATTCATTGAAGGCCATATATCATCTCTGGACGAAGGTGTCCTGCAAACAACACTGGAAGCCCGTTGGTAAGGCCATGCGTTTCACGAGACTTTTGGAGTTACCTTGAACGGATAAAGGAAGCTGGTCACCGTGTCCGTGGCGAATTCGTTGGTAGCGGTACACCGGTACAGGCCCATGTCAGACCACTTCAGGGTATCGAAGATAAGGTCACCGTTCGGCATGAGCTGAAACACGGCAGAGCACGCTACCTTGCATGACGCTGGTGATTCAGAGGGCCTGCAGTGCACTTTGCGGCAGTCGTACAATTTCTGCCGCGCCCCATTTAAGGAAATGAATGCTTAAAGCTCAGAGGAACAAGAGCAACCATGAAGCATGATGACTAAGGTGGGCGTAGAGTAACTCACACACAGCTGCATCATCTTGGGTCTGCACAAGCTTCCAGATTTGGTTTGCGCTGGAAATCCCATGAACTTCGCTACATGCTTTATATTTCAGCATGAGAAAGTTCATGCAGTTGCAAATCAACGTTATTCAAACAAAGCTCCAGCGAGAAGAGCTAGAGCAACGTGCTGATTTAGTCTATAACAGATCGTGCCGGCAAAACACATTCGACTCGATCGGAGCTGGTAGGCGTGGGTTTTGTCTTTTGTTTATGTTTGGCCGGAAACTATACAACGTTATAAATTGTACCTGCTCCGTGCGTGAAGTCTTGTACACACACTAAGTACAACGGCGGCAGATTCTTGCTCCCTACCCATTTTGATGCTGTACATCACACCTGCTTCGCAAAATGTTAAGGTTACGTTAGACAGGACACGTTGAAAAATATCAGAGAGGTGGCTATGTTCTACGCCTTACGGATAAATTCGGCGAAAAGTGTCAAAAATGACGACAAAAATCCCAAATGCTTCTCAAAAAGGACGAGTTACTATCAAACTTCGTACCAGTTGTCCTGTTAAGTGGCATCGGTGATGAGTGCATGCACTCAACTCAGATGTCACAATCTCAGAAAACCTTTGTGTCTGCGTGTGATGTGACTCCATATCTATGGCGCGAGTGTATGCACTGGCACCCACACATTCCATACACCATGTGCGTACCTCCTATGGGTGTGCCCTTAACCTATTTATTTATTTCTGCTGCCGGTGTCGTTTCGAGAGGTGCCAGATGTAAAACATGGGAAATGGTTTCCCACTGAGAGATTTTGGCGGTGTCGTCCGCCATCCTTCTTGGGACATACCTACCGCGTGCTCCCAAAATACATCATATTAAATTTGAAGATTAACAGAAATCAAGCACGCGATCTTGATTATTTGATATCTGTTGTTTTATATTTACATCTTGAATATTGCACATCAGATCACGTTAAACATGCGCTTTTATTTTCGTTTTTGCAGAAGCATATTCAGCCGCAGGTATGGGACACTCAACGACGGACAAAAACACATTGTCCAATTCGACCCCGAACTCGTTTTAATCGAATTCTTTCATAGGCCGCTCGGCGGAGCACCCGCCCGATCTCAGCACACTTCATGTGAGTATGTGGGGTGCCTCGAGAATAAATACGCAAATAAATAGCAACAACTCTGTGCATCCAAACCAATGATCAGTGCCACCACAAGCGGGACGCGGTCGGCCTACGCACTCGCGTGGCCAGGAGGCGAAAAGACTGGCCACTATGTGTGCTGACCGGATGTGGGTACTTGGGGCACGTGGTCACTATGTGTGATGACCGAACTTGGTCATCACGTCACGTCACGTCAAACTTGGGTGGTGGTTCCATACTGCATATGAAAAAAATCGATATACATTACGCCATGGATAGATCTTCAAACTTCTAAAATTGGCTCAGAATTGAAGGAGTTATGAACAAGACAAGTGCAATGCATTGTTTAGAATAGAGGATACCTGGAACCTGTAACATGTTCCAAGCATCAGGCGTTACTTTCCTCAGAAGTCAGCCTGGTTGCGACATTCCAAATATGAAAGGAAATTGTATCACCCCGTCATCCCTATGGAAGATTTACGCCATGCATGTCTAAGGCATAATGTCGCCATTACTAGCCCAGCTTGGGCAGAGTTATAAATATGTGGAGCCCCAGCGCTGTCGCCTCTGGGCAAATCTGGGCGGAACACCCGTGATCAGCTGCTGGTCATTGGGTCTATTTTTGTCGAGAACTCTTAAAGCGGTGCTGCAGCCTGCATGAGAACTGCTGAGCTGGCACGAAGTTTTATCCTCTCATCTGGCCTTCCCGACCGTAGTCGATCACGAAGCGCTCAATGATTTGGACCCGATCCATAAAGCCAAAATTAGCGTTGCGAAGAAGCGTCGCCTGGGCCAAAATGGGGGCAAGAATACGGCAGCATCGGTCTTCCGTGTGTGCGCCCCAAAGAGGCGACCTCTGCGAACAGCGCTTTCAATGGCATGTTTTGTCGGTGACCCTCTCGAGTGAAGGCCGAAGGCCTCAAATAGTTCCTGACAGCCGCCTTGGTTGACGGGCACGGCGCTTAACTTTATGGGCGATTTCCGCGTGAACCAAGGCCACGTTCCGGAACAAACAGGCGGCTGCGACAGCACCCATACCGTCAGCCTGGGGTCATCGTAGGTGACGAGCCGGTCGTCCTTGTGCCAGGTGACCTGGGGTGCCGGGAAGCCAGTCGTCTCGCACACCAGCCGGGCCCGCTTCCCCATCCTGCAACAGGACCACGCCCTCTCTGTGTCCGGATGTGGAGCGGCCCCAGGTCGGCAGCGGGACAGTGTCGTCACGTGCCACATCTGGCCGTCCCGTCTGCTGCGAGATGCTGAGCGGCGGCGTCAGCACGACTGCGAGGACGCCACCGAGAGGTGGCAATCCATCAGAGATCGTGGCCAGCGCCAGCTGAGGAGCAGTTTGCGGATTGTGTTCAAAGAAGTTGTTCTTTGCGGCTGGTTGCTGGGATGCGAGCAGCCGTATCATAGTATGATAAGAGACTTGAGTGTCTCGGTTTGTCTTGAGTGTCTTGATATGTTAATGAGTGTCTGGCAGAACTCAAAGTATGGAACTGTGCGAGACATTCATTGTTTGGTGCATTGCTGCATATTCATGGGCTACGTATTCATTCTGAACTCCTTCCCAATGGGTGTACCGTTAGATCCACGTTGGTTGAGTACATCAGTTAATCGAAGCATTAAGGAATATCAAGACGCCGTGCGAACTTCCCTATCCTTGGTTGTGAACAGCCATCACCGGTATCACCGTCAGCGGCGTAGACATTGCTGTTCTCAGCTGGGTCTTACGACACACCAAGCTGCCAAGGCTACACGATGTGACCTGCCCTTCAACCTGGCGGGAAAAGCGAGCTACGAGGGGAATCGAGCCCCGTCCCTCTGGTTTGCCACACGCGGGTGGCTTACCAGACTTTAATACAAAACCTCTGCGTAGGCGTCAGTCAATCACTCGCCCCACACAAGCATCCATAGCGACAAATTCATGCATCCCTGGAATTTACGTCTGATTGCTGCATCACTGCAACCCAAAAGGTACAGATGGCATCTCTTGAGCACAGGTAACCACCAGCTAAATATCCGGCTGGTGCTGACACTACGCTATCATGTGCTGAATGAGTCACTAGCACCTTGACGCTCCAGCAATGCGCTGTCCGCTTAGTGCATGGGCTTGAAATGCCACCGACAGTCACCGTCCGATTGGCTAGCGACAATGGGAGGGGAGGGGGAGGGGGCAGGGAGCGACCAGCCGTCACAACGAGGAGCGGCCGACTGGCCACCGCTCCCTGCGACGGCTGGTCCCGCCACTCACATTGCCAGCATTTGCGATCTCCACTGCACGATCCGGGCCGGCGCCACGCGCATGTCCTTGACGCGTTCGCAAAGGGCCATGCCCTCCACGCTCGCCGGGTCTGCAACAGGATACAGCGCCCCGGTCAGTGCGGGCCCGGCACATCGGGGTCACAGAACGCAACATTCGCCGGAGGTCATAGCTGCACAGTCGCGGTGCTTACATGTGAATGTGGCTTAGTAACACATGACGCCGTCAGGCCAATCATGTATTGCGATTCTGAGCACGGGTTCCTCCTCGCCAAATGCGTCATTGTCGTTGGGTTGTATCGTGACGGTACTTGCAAAAACACGAGGGCCTCTTCAAGGCTGCGGCTCACGACGGATGCAGGCAAGAGCAGATTGCATCTTAAGAGTGCGATAAGCCTAATCATGCGAATGAATGCATGTATGTCACCTTTCGCAGCGATAAGCCGGCGACAGCGGCGCCCCTCCCCCTCCCCGTCCACCCACGCTCTGACGTCGCCTAGTACGCCAATCGCCGGCGCTCTGGAGGTCACCCCACTTCAGGGTGACCGCTGGCGGTCCGCCACCTGCGCCGGCGGCCCGTCTGGACACGCCGCGATACGGCGGCCGAAGCGCGGCCGGACCAGGTTAGTGTGGGCGGCGCGGCGGCCCCGGCCGGTGGACCGCCGGTGCCGCGCGGCCACCATGGGCGCTGCCGCTGGCGCGGGGGGCTCAGCACCGGCAACAGCGGTCCACTGCCGTTTGTGATGCTGGACCGAGGCGTTTCCTTCAAATGGCTGGTCGTTGTTGTTTTTATTGTGTTGGAATATACGAGATAATTGTTTTTTGACTGTTGCTAAGTTCGAGCAAATATCCCATTCGCTGCAGAGTTGCCCACAGTTCGACGCATATGGATAGTTTATGGTTTGAGGGTATCTGAGGGTATACTGAGATATATAATCATACTGAAAGCCATCACGGCAGGGAGACACGGATCAAAGACGAACTTATGCGGAACTGTGATAACTTATCCCTCAATCATTTGAGTCTGTTCTCTTCAACTGCTTTGGTTTTTTGCTGGAGACATTCTGTGGAATGTCTCTAAGCATGATGGCATTTTGTGATATTCATCAGATCCATCGCTTAGCGTCATCCTAACATTTTCCACGAGCTCTGGCCTCGTCGCTGGGGCTGGATCTGCTGATGGAGGGGGAGAGGATGTGGGCAGGCCGGTCCTCGGCCTCACTCACCGTCCACGAGCAGCTCGGTGGACGCGCTGTCCACGCTGAACGCCGTCTGTCCCTGGCACGTGTAGATGCCCTGCAGCAGGCGGCGGGGATGTCAGAAAACCACCCCGGCTGCTTTATGGCGACAGAAGCAGCCGGGGTCCGGCGCGGCTGGGGGCGGCGCTACAGTGAGGAGTTGTACACTGTTTTGTGCCGGGATGAGATCCGGATGTCGCTGCTGACAGCGCCGACCGCGGGGCCGGAGATCGTCCTTCGCATTTATTGTGATGATATGGTCTATATGTACGCCTCGACGTGGTCCCGTCATTCACGTGTGGGAAATGTTTACGATGAATGAAGCATTCATGTGCGCTGTGTTTTGCCCTGCATTCGTTGCCAGGCCAAATAATCAGAACGGAAGTTGCTTTCAATGTGACTTCTCGTGCATTGTTCGCATTGACACCTGACAGACACCGGGTCAATGTAACGTAATGACTTGACCTCGCACCTTGCTGTTTGTAGAAAAGCAAAAGCCGGCTTAGCGCAAGTTTTTGTCCGGTCTCCAACCAGAAGCAATTATCCAGTCTCGGATGTGGCCTTAGGCCATCGGAGCGAATAAACACATGCTGTTTACTGATCATTGTTCAAGATCTTCGCATTGTAACATTTAACAGTTGTTCGCATGTAACAAGATGTTCGGGAGCATGCCATTGCAGTGCGTGCGTGGAACTGTGAAGTCATTGGAGGACTAACGCCCTCGATGCTTATATTTTCATAGGAACCACGAGCATTGTTTACATTGAATGAGTTGAAACAGATCATTTAATCATTCAACGTATGTGGAAAATATCTAAGGAAGGACGAAATGTCAGAAAATGGTCGGTGCTGCAAAGCTTCTGAAAAATAACGGTGACGCTACATTAGTTTTAACGAGGGTTCGCATATTCGCAGCCACACAGGCACATATCTTTCTCCAGCAAGGATCGGCGTTGCTATGGCGTTGCACATAGATGATCCAAAATGTGTTGAGCGGCAATCAGTGCTAATACCTGGAATCGTCAAAGACAGACCGAGGTGGCCACCAAAGTTTCAACGGCCTAACCATCCGTGAGCCCTTGACACTTGAAGTGCCCGGCCCAATAGAAAGAAAAGTCGCTGAGGTCAGGAGATGGTTCAAACAGCTGTCACATGCGGCTGCAGCAGGGAGGGGCCCTGCTCGTCGGCGGCAGCGGCAGCAGCTGGGAGATTCCGCAGTCGGCTGCAATCGGGCGCACGCCCGGGGCACAGCTTCGTCCTTGATTATGCCGTTTATATCCAGTGTCAGACGTCGAATCTCTCACTCAATCACTGCACTTTCAGAAATGTCGGTGGCGGCTTAATCCCATTTCCGTCCACTGGGAAAGCTCAGCTGGCAGTGAAGCAGCGCCGGCTACCGGGGGTTATGCAATATTCCGGTCATGCATCCTCCTAGATCCGAGAGCGGCACGTGACTTATGTAAGAGCGCCCTCTGAAGACAGCCGATCTCAAGGCATCGTAAACTGATCGCGGGTCGTACTTTTTCGTAAACACAGAGTGCGACATAGTATTCACCAGAGTCGCACGACTGCCAGACTTCCTGTCGTAGGCAGCACGCAGAAATGTCACATGCTGGTCTGTTTATACCGTCTGGTCAGGCGACGATTGTAAATACGTGCTGCGCCATCGCTTTTCGTGCAATCAATCGCGTCCGGCGCGAGTTTCACGAGCGACAGGAAGGGGGAGGGATGTCGTCTAAACACGTTGGAATCTGTAAGCTTGAACTGTGGAGGTCGACTGATTTTGCCTTTCGGAGGAAATCGCGCAATTATTCCCGTCAGGACCGCGAGAGGGTTCACCTCGCACGCCGCTGAGAAACCAAAATGGCATAGTCTGAGGGCACCGAACTTATTGCGAGCGCCAAGTCGAACATCACGTGATGCAGCATCATGCACACCTCGCCGGCCCTCTGGTGACATACTGCATGTAAGGCGTGACAGACCCCACTGGACACAGCGGTGGCATGTCAGAAATAATCATGAGCTTCGTCAAACTCATATATCCGTTCGCGCCTAGAAGCATGTGCTGGAGCCGAGACGGCTGACTCAGTGCACCCGGGAGGGCGTGACAGTGGCGGGGTCAGCCGGTACGCTCGTCGTGCCCTCTAGCCCGCTGTCTGACTCTGGCCAGGTCACACGAGGTCATCTCGTGTCGTCGATAGGCACCTCGTTTCAATCCAGTGATGATGTCAGGTCAGCTGCTGCTGCCCGATTAATATCACCTAGCTTACCTCTTCTTTGCCTGCTTTGCAGCAAAGCAAGCAGAAAAGCTTTGCTTGCTTCGCGGCTGATGAAACAAGGCGGCTTACCGTACACTTTTGCCTGGTCTTGGGCTAGATATAAACTCCGGATTTAACTTAAGGTTCGGCCGTGCCCCGGATTCAACTTAAGGTTCGTCGGGGCGACAAAAAGTACTGCCAGCCGCTCCACATCAGCCGCGAGCGGCGGGCTCCGCCACGACAGCCCAGCAGCGAAGGTCGAAGAACCCGCGCGATCCCGCCGGCCGATACCAGCTTGGCATGCCGTCGGTGTACGGTACAACAGCACCTAGGTGTAGGCGGTGTTTGTGGCTGACGGCCCGCTCGTGAGCTGTGAGGTGACGCGCCGTCTGTGGTGCTGACGACGACGCTGTGCTCTTGCTCAGCGGGCCGACGTCTGCCGTCGCAGCGTAACGGCTGCTCACGACAGTGACCGCCAGAGGTCGTTGGGCCGTGGCAATGCGAGGTCAAGGCACTGCCTTATGAAGAGCTCTGCATTCACGCGGCCACCAGAGGCGCCATTGTTTTGCAGAGATAGGAAGAGATGAGGAGGAGCATGTGAGGAGGCCATTAGAAGCCAAAGGAGCCGCTAAAGGGTCTCTTGTTTCAATTTCGCACGCCCCCACGTCCTCAAAAGAACACTTTTCATAAATGCAGTGACTGAATTTTGCCGAGTACGACGTCACGGCGCCGGCCCCTTGGCAACACCAGCAAAGTAGGTGTGACCATTCCCATCTCGTGCGGAGCGGGTCGTTCCGAGCCGGTCCGTAACGAGCGCCAGCCCTAGGGGGCCGCCCATGGCCACCGACCTGCTCCCGCGGGGTCATGCAGTCCAGGTATAGGCGGGCGTGGGTGGCCGCGCGGGTCTCGCTCGGCTCGCTGAGCAGCGCGTCCAGGCTGTTGGTCTGCTCCTCCAGATTTTCGGCCAGGCCCGCCTGGAAACGAAGGGTGGACACGTGACGCAGCGGCCGGCGGCGGCTTGGAGGCGGCGGTGAAGACAGCAGAAGAGCTGCGCGTGCCGCGGAGGCGGCGTTTCGCCGCCAGACGCGGGGCGAGCGACGGCACGGCGGCGGCGAGCCGGGCGGAAGCGGTGCTCCCGGATCGTAGTCAGTTGCTGTGTGCAGTCCCTGAAGCCCACCGGGTGTCAGTGCGGGTCCACGGGGGCCGCTCCAGCCGGTGCGTCCGCCCGGAGACAGGGCCAGCGTGCAGACTACATGCTGCGACAGACAGCGTGACGTGCACGACACAACATCTGACTCGGATCGAAGACGAGAAGTCTGGCGCAAGTTACATCGCACAATCGAGTTGTGAAAGGGTTAAGCTGCTGTGGAAGCTCAAGCTCACATAACATTGGGTGGGATGATCAGCGAAATAGGTTGGCGCGCGTTGTGGTAGCATTCTCACATCAGCACTAGGTAGTGAGTGGATTAATTAGTCCCACCGGCTACCGCCCAGATCCCTCGTCAAATGACTACCGGAGAAAGCCATTTTGAGCCCCCTCGCTCCAGGAAAGAGTGAGGACAGCAAAAGGCCAGGTGGAGCACCGAATTCAAATATTGTTCCCTAAGGGTTCAGCACTGCATGAATAAACGACTGATCTACCAGGCATGCATAATGCGTGTTCAAAGAGCCTCCCGACATGCAAGTACGCGATGTGTATCGGATGCGCATTAAAGCGCAGAACACAGCGTGTGGCCGCACAGCTAATGTTACATTGAGAGCGATATTTGTCTCCCGTCCCCACTGCTGACAACTGACTGCGTTGGAAGACCTGCAACATGAGCTCTTTGACTGCGGGAGGCTCGAGTAAGCAGTTGATGAGACGGCCTTTGATGTCAACCATTTCCTCTGGAGGGATATTCTTTACCATCTACCTTTGACTGGCTGTTGATGGTGCACTCATTCAGCAACGCTCTCTCCAATAGCGAGAAGCTGACTGGCTTTGGGCCGAGGGCTTGTTGAATGTTTCTATCTAGACCGGTGGCCGCTGACTGGTCGTTGGTGGCGGACCTGTTTCAGTGATTCTCTCCTCGCCACTGGTCGCTGACTGGCCGTTTGTGGTGGGCCTGCTTCAGTGATTCTCTCCTCGCCACTGGTCGCTGACTGGCCGTTTGTGGTGGGCCTGCTTCAGTGATTCTGTCCTCGCCACCGGCCGCTGACTGGCCGTTTGTGGTGGGCCTGCTTCAGTGATTCTGTCCTCGCCACCGGCCGCTGACTGGCCGTTGCCGGCGGACCTGGACCCGGTGATTACACGCATGCCCCATTACGCGGCGGCAGCTGTCCTGTTATTACGCGCAAGTGGCACGGCGATCTGTAATGACCACGTAGCGGTCGTTACAATAGCCGCATGAGGGTCATTACGCACGATGAGGGGCGGTTTAGCGGCTTGACGAGCCATCGTCCACTTGTTGCACGCCGGTTAGTGGGCCGCCCGAGAGCACGCGCCCGGGTTGGCCACGCTCGCGGCCGCGCGCACTGGAGTTCACGGCGCCGACGGCAGCCCCTGATCCTTCGCATCACTGACAGTTGCTGCGCCCCCCAAGCCAAATCGGGCATTTGCATGTGGTTCAAACAATGTCGGGTGTCATGTAATGACGTTCACTTGCATGGTAGATTGCATTGTTCACAGTCCAGGTTGTGAGGTATATTATTGGCTTCAGGACTTCTTGGTTCTAAAACGTTGGTTTCTACTGCCAATTTTGATGACTTCGCAGTGTATGCTAAATGTATGCAAGTTGATACTAACTATGCGTGAATTGGTATGCGCCAATGAAAGGGAGCGTTTGATCTCGGCTGGCATACTGGTCGGGTGAGCTGACAGAAGCGTGTTAAAAAATATACCATAACTCTGCTGTAGCTTTTTCCTTTCATCCTTTCATACCCCAGATTATTATATTTTAATGCTAGACATCTATCAAGCAGCTGGCTTTAAGAAATCGTAAGGCATCAACGACAATCAGCGTGGAAATGAATCAAAACACACTGTACCTAAAACTGTTCCTGCTCCGTTGGTTTATCAGATATACGTGCAGAGTCAGAGAAGATGTACAGCATCTACCCGCGGGGTCGCCACGCGCGACGAGCGGTGGCTCAACGGTTCGTCCCTTGACCGCGTGCTTCCACGCGCCGACCCTGCTGACCTTTCTGAGCAGGTGGCCGTCCTTCAGCCAGTCGACGGAGGGCGCCGGCGAGCCGGAGAAGGCGCAGTGGATCATCACGCTGTCGAACTTGTTGACCGTGTCGAACGGCGGGGGCACAGTGATGGGCCTCACGACACGGTCCCGGCCGACGCCTGCCGAACGACGCCAGCACGGTCAGCCCGGAGACGACCGGAGCTGCCACATCATCATCAGCCCGCTCCGGCCAGAAGGCGGCGACAGCCAGGAGCGCCGGCCGCCCCGAGCACCGCCGCTCCCGACCGACGATCCGTCCGGTGTTAGGTGTGTGAGACCTGGGAGAGGCTGACCGCCTGGCACTGCGAGTGGGTTCGGGAACTGACCGCCGCGCGGGCTCATTAACGGTCGGTGAGCTGGAGACAGTACAACCGCTGCACCTCCTAAATCCCTTCAGCAAAAATTATATCCGCCCCGGAAATAGAACGACATGTGTTTCTTCTACGAGAGCACTCAAGATCAACGCACAACGACCCTCCTGATCGCGACTGCTCTCTGGGCCTCTCCGGGGCGATAAAGCGGTCGACGCCAGCGGCCGTCGAGCTGCAGGAGGGTCCTCAGCGCGACGGAGGGTCCTCCCGCTTCCGCCCGTCGCGCCGTGACGTCACCTGATTGAGACGACCGGGAGCGGCGCAGACGCGCGTGGTCATGTCCGGCGGCGAGGGCGGCGGTGGCCTGCGGCGGAGGTCACGTGTCAGCAGTCTGCGCCGCAGGCACCGCGGGGCGGCGTCACGACCGATTCCCCCCCCCCCTCTCCCCAGAGGGCAATGACTTGGTTGCACGCCGCCCATTTACTCTAGAGTATATCCGAAGAAAATGCTGGAAACCTGGCGGAATCAAAGGATTGAAAGCTACAAAGTGATGTTCTGTTTGAAGTTATGCGGTGGCTACATCGGGTTTCGAGGGAAGTTTTCCGAAGGCTGTCGCGCTGTGGGCACGAATAAGTGAACGACCACCTTAGTGCCACGACCATGAGTTGTGACCTTTGAATATGCCCACTAGAAGGCTATTAACCCACTAATGGGCTGAATGATTGATAGCTGCGAGCTGTGCTAGACAAATGCCGGTGCTTGAATGCTCACTGAGACTAAACAACAGAATGACTGATCGACCAGGATAATTGCACATCTGACGGGATGATTTACGCATAGCATTAACCGGCCTGGAGCATGCCTGGACTGGCGTCATTCCCGGCCTATCGATAACGCCCTTCGACGTGGGGGACTGGTGACACCTCTGGATCGCGCGCTCCTGCGCGAAGCACACCTGCGCAGCGCTCGGTGGCGGTGGGGGACCACTTACCGCGGACTGAAGTCGGCCGGGCACGGACGGGTGTGAAGAGGCGCTCAAGGCACACGTCCAGACCACCAGCAGGACCGGCAGGCACGGCCAGAGGCCCATTCTGAAACAGTCCGCCGCACGGGCACGTCGGTCAGTGGCTGACGCCGCGTCCGCCCGGGACAGCCCCGGCTGTGTGACGCGGCGTTACCGCGTGTGACGCGGCGCTCGGGCGTTGCCGGCCGCTGGGTGACGCCCCCACTCGCTCAGCGCCGCCACGGCGACGTCCCAGATGTGGGAAGTCACTGCGCTGTCCTGGCGGTGCGTTAGCCAGGGGCACGCAGCAGCGTTTGTGGCCTTGAGGTGGGCAGACCTGCAGTTTCGCTGGCGCGTGACTGCAGGTCTGATTTGGAATCACCGGGGGATGTGGGTGCGGCCGTGCCTCGGTGCTGCAGTTTGCGTGTCGTTTTCTTATTTTTTCATGTGACTTGTCACTGAACGTATAAAAAACACACTGGCAATTGATATTAGTGTTTTTATGAATGTAGAATGGTCAGTGGGTGTTTGATGTGTGGCGGTCCTCCGGTTTTCCTCAAGCGGGCGCGTTTTTGTGGCCCTACATGGTTTTCCAGACTCCATTGTGTCCACATACAGACTGAATAGGGGGCGCGTCGATTTTCGTCGAGACAGAGGTATTTTACTCCAGCTAGTTTCCGCCTACTAAAGCCAATTTCGGCGATTGCATGGCAGTGTCAACGTTTTGTGCACATAGTGCTCTGGAGAAGGGCCTCTTACAATGTTTCTAAGGCAACGTATCGAGTAAACTTTCCTCGACCAGTCGCTGGGGCCCCGCGACTCGTCTGGGGGGGGGGGAGGGGGGGGGGGCCTTGAGGCCTCGCGAGTCTTGCCGCTCTGAATCAAAAGGAATGATGCAGAAATTCCAGGCCAGGCTGATTATTCGCAAGGGGTCTGCTGCTCATTCCCGTTTCCGTTCATTCGGCGCTGCTTAGAGTGAGCTGCTGAAATTGACCGCAAACCTGCTGAAGATAACTTCGGTAACCTCGCCGCCTGAGATTGGAGCGGCCCAGTTCATATTCAGTGCATTGGGCAGTTTCGAAGAAAAGTAATGAAGCTCCGGATAGTGTTATGGCGCAGGCAGGTAGTAAAATAATTTTTTCAGCTCTGTATATTTTTGTGATCTGGGGTACACTGATGTTTCCGAAACGTTAATACAGAGTGAAGGGACTATCAGAGTTAAAAATTTGGTTGACAACAATTGAGGAATAGCCCACGCAGATCGAATCAGATCAGATCAGATCAGATCAGATCAGAAAGCCCGCCCACTCGATCCCCTCTGAGTATATCGGAGACTCCGCCATTGTCGTCATCAGCTCCGGACACTCGAGTTGATAAACAGTTCGTTGCAACGCACGTGGGCCTTGGCCGATCTGCAACATTAAAAAGCCTTTTGAAGCAACAGTGTCTAACTACCAAGGGCAAAATGAAAAAAACCGAGCTTGCATCTTAATCCCGGGTTCCTGATGTGTGTAAGTCACCAGTTTGCACAGTCTACGACTTGTTCACACTGTTTTATGTAATCGTTTTGCATCGCCCAGTTTTTGCATTGTCCAACATTTCGCATATCCACATTTAAAGTCTGTAACTGGTTCCTCTGTATCTGGTTCCTCCTTTCTTTTTGCTTCCATGCGCTGATCTCTTGCCGTGGTTCGCCAGCTGGATCCTAGCTTCTCAGAGTTGATAGACGGACCCCGTTTTTGGGGGCCTGGGACCTTTGTTGTTTTGTTGGCTTTTCTTTGCATACACCATCCGCTTACTGCCGTCCGACATTATGAACTCGTGTAAGGTCTGTTCGCAGCTATACAACGCATCAAAGCTTTCGTCACGGATTGTTTGACCACACGTCTCCGCTGCTGCCTTGTTCCCTGTAACTGACGACAGTAATGTATAAGTTTGTCCTTGTGGATGCCGCAGTTACTGACTCAGTGTCGGCCACATGATCCTAAGCTGGCTGTCATATCACTCTGCAACATGCATAGATGTGCGCTAGCGTCTGTTAATCAATCAACTTAAAGCCCTCTGAAAGCATTAAGGATTACCATTTGTCAGCCGAGAACGGGATGGTAAAGGAAAGCCGGTTCCTGACACTGAGATGAGTCACTATCTCTATCGCCAGCCCGCAGCACCACACACGATTACTGCGTGCTTTCGCAACGCCGGTGCAGTGACTGACGTTCCCCCTGACCCCGCCCCGTCCCCTCCAAAGATCCGGCAAGCGGCGAGGCGCGTCGGCGGCCGTTGGGTGCGCTAAGAGCATATCTGGCCGCGGCGACTAGCAGACGGGGATGCATTCCGGTCCTGGAGATAGTCACGAGAGATCGAAGATAGGCGGAAAGGTGTCATACGCTGCTCTGCTAAACGGGGATCAGTCCCAGTCCCGCAAAGTGATGCGTTGCCACATCGAGACGAGGGGCGTTCCTGCTCAAGACCGGATGCCGTGTGGTTCTGTGTCTTCTGCTCGGGAGAAAGCGCTCTTCTGGACGGGATTTTGCCCTGAGGAGCCTTTCCGAAAGTTCCACACAGCGAAGGTCCAGCCAGCCTGGCCCAGCACCGGTCGGCCCGGCCCTCGAACACCGGAGGCCAGCAGCGCCGACAGCGCCGCCTGCCGGCCCTGGCCTGCGCTCTGACCGTCCCGGCTGACCTGGCATCCCTGTCGCGGCGCGGCGGCGCTGTTGCGTCATCTGACTTCCGTGTGCCGTCGCCGGGCGGCGGCGGCGGCGGCGGCGGCGGCGGCGGCGCTGACTGGCTGTCTGATGGCGTGACGCCGGCAGTTACCTGACCGCCCCGCCCCCTCTGGCCGCGGGGTGGGGGAGCAGGCTATTAGGCGTGCCGGGCAGGAAGGATGTCGTCAATGAGCTGGCTGCTGGCTGGCGGCTAATCGCCCCTGGCCGGGGCTTACAACCAAGACGTACGCTGCGACGACGCATGCCGGAAAAGTGTAAGGCTGGTGACCAAGTCCATTCATTCTCGAAGCTGTTGCGTACAGGAAAAGAGCCAGTGCGTCTGCATTATTTGTGTATCGGATCATGATAGCTGACTACGACGTTTAAAAGATAACAACCATGAAAAGTGCTGAACTACGTGGCTAAAATTTCACGTTCCGCATTGTTGGCGCGGCCCGCCCTGTCCTGTAGCCTCAGCTGACATTGACAAACCCTTGCCACCTGCCGCATACCATCCCAGTCAGGGGTAAACAGCAAGCGCGTGTAGCGACTAGAACCCCCACCCGGCCACGGGCAGGATGAGAGGCGGGCGCTCCACCCGAATTGGAGCCGGGGGGATCGATAGAAGAGTGGGAACTGCAGGATATGTGTGGCACCAGTCTGACCAGGCATCAGCGGGAAACCTAAAAAAGGTCACATTAGCACTAATTACGATCCCACAACAAAAGGTCAACTGATTTCTGGGAGTCAATCCTGACGTACCCTAGACTGAAGTCTGTCCCAAACGATGCGATGATCCGCTGCCAGAGGCGTCCGGAAAACGGACGACTGCTGATTAACAGCAGCAGAAGCCACTGGAAATAAACCTTCAAAACAGACAACGTCAGTTGAAGCCAACCCCAAAACCAGATCTCCCACACCCACTGATGCTGAACCTTCGAGACGCGGCCTAGCAGCCGTAGCAAACTGATTCAGTTGCTATAATATCTGGACTGCGGAGTAATTGTAAATGTCGCACAGTGTAGCGTATGTGGCTGCTTGCTCATTCATTTTTGTATGGTTGTTATGCATAATTTGCATTCAAACTCATTATATATGTGCATATAAATATGTATGTACATGCATGGTTATGTCCATATTCCTACAAATATATATATATATATATATATATATATATATATATATATAATATAATATAACATGACCACAATGATTAATTAACCATAACGTTACCTAAACCTGCGCCTGACACTCAACATTTTCTCAACAATTTTATTATTTTCGGCAGGGCAAATAACGCATTGGATGTATGTGGTTCGTAGCTCTGGATGCCCGGTAAGGTGTTCTTTATTGGAGTCGTCATAAAAACACGCACTGCAATGCAAACTTGCAAACTTGCAAACTCGCATGCAAACTTGATTGCTATCGAGAACGCAACATTGGAGAAATGAACACAAGATTGCGGATGGAGACGTTAGTGCAAAAAAAACACCTCGAGTTTTTTCTTGCCTTGTTCGGACGAGCTGAACATCTACTTTCTCTGGTCGCAACGTAATGTGTAGTGGGCATTATCGCATACATCGCGGCACATAAGTATCCATGTAAAACCAAAGATGAGAAGCGGCATGTGCAGCCTGCAGGTTTAATTGTCATTTTGCATCAGCAACATGGCGGTGATGCTGTCTGATGCACCCTCATGCTGTCGCCAGGTTTCCCGCTAAAACTACGTTGGGGCGACAGACTGTTGCAATGGGTTGTGAGGGCGGAAATTCCACAAGCATTCCGCTCCATTGATGCTACTACTCAGCGTTCCAAGGGGCGGACTCCCAGGCGCTTGTCCGACCGACCGGCAATGCCACGTATAGTGCGACAAACGCCCCCTGACACGTCATCGCGGGGTTCGCGTGCTCCCGCATGTGCTCACGGGGTCATGTTTAGACTCTCTGAAACTTGTCGGCCCCACTCGCTCGGCACATACCTTCTGACGAGGCCTGTGCTTAACGCAGGAGGAATGAAATCTGATTCCATAATTGACTCCGTTTGAGCCCGGATCGGATTAGGCTTCATTGACGCTTGGCTGAATCAGATTCTGAATTCATTGGCAGGGTTTACGATGGCATTGGAACTGATTCCATTCTGCTTTCAAAGTGTCTGACTCATAAAATAACTCATCAGCAGTCACGAAGTTGTTTACGTGATTGGGTTACAACTGCACATGATGAGCTACCCAGCTAGTATTTACTGACATTGAATGTAAAAGAAAATATTGGAGCTATCTTCTCAGTAAATGGAGGTGTGGTGGTCGGAGTGGGGGGTTAGAGTCGTTAAGACCCCCCTTAAAGTTCACAAAGTTTGCTTTATTACCCATGAATTACTCATACCGCCAAGCTGTTTCAAATATATTATTAATCAAAATCATTTTTAACTTATAATGACAGCCCTTAGTCCCGTTCACGTAGTTTCAGTGATCTGACGCATGGCTTCCTCAGTATCTTCATCCCCAGAAAGTTTTGCGCCCACCCAGCCATCACAAGACCAGGACGGGAAGGGTCCGCCGTTTGCAGTTGGCACCACCGTATCTCACACCTCGACCTCGCACCGAAGCTGCACTTCAAGCCGGCCAGCCCGCGCCGCGAGCCGCCGGCCGTGCTCGGCAGACGGCGGCCCTGAAGCTCCTCTTCCGCTTGGTGGGACTCCAGCTCTTCCGATCGGCCAGCGCGCGGAGCGTGAAGTAATAGCCCGCCGGCGGTGAGGCCGTCTGCCGTCAGAGTTTTCTCCGGCGCGCGGCGATGCACGGAGGCGATCGGCGAAACTCTCCCAGTTGGGCTTTAAGCCCACGATGCACTTACGTGTTAAGAAGTTGGGCGTAGTCAGATCAAACTCATGTAACTGTAGTCGCTTATACCGGGTAAACGATGATTCATTCTTTCATGAGGTCAGCGATGGTCTAATACAGCCCTACCTGCGCGCGTCATTCCTTTAACGGACAAACTACCTTGCGAACATTATCAAGCTGGATGACTTTTCTGCGAGTCAGCTCGCCACAGCCTTATTAATGGATAACTTACAACGACCGTAATAATAACGGTATATGATGGGGCTCTCATGGATTCGCTCAAGTCTTGCGCGCTGGTTTACTACCAATCTGAACTCACGCAATGCAACGTCCGCCAACTACATATGTATTACGAGCTTTTGAAATACCCCTTTTTGACCCTCGCCTCACGGAAGTTTTTCTCACCCTCACCTGTGGGAGGGGCCGCAGAGCTCCCCAGAAATATCAAAAGCTTAGCAAGGTGGAGCCAACAGGAAAACGGAGGTGAAAAGCTTTCGTCTAATTTTAGCATGTAGGTGTGCCTTACCAATCATTTATGTTTACTTTGACATGTCAGTTCAGGCCAAAGTGGTAAAAAAGACTTTATAGATCCTCTTGTTAGCTCAAGAATTAAGCGTGCTATTGAAACAAAGGAGGTCTCATGGAACAGCTTTTTAAGATCTCTTTTCTACCTGACAATCACCCATAACCCGGTGGCCAGGAGCGTCCACCCCTCGCTAACGCGGCACACAATACCTACCGCTAATAGGAACTGAAACGTTGCAGGACCACAACACTCCAAGCTACGAAATGGGAAGCCTGGTAAACATGCCGAAAGCAAGCGTAACAAAAGGGATGAGTAATTCAGGATTAAAGATGCTTTGATAGTATACGCTAATCAGAGGTGATTAAAATCCGCCATCTTTAAGGATAACAACTGGCGGACCAATCATATCATTATCCGGTTAGTGGAAAGTTACAAAACAACGGTTGGTTAACATGCTTCAGAGTATCAGGGACAGAACAATATCCTGGTCTTGTTGTGTGCATACCGCCGCCTCAACCCCGCCGGCTTAGCAAGCTTGTTGTCAAAGGAGGGCAGATATGCCGGCCTAGCCTGTCGGGCGACGTCGCGATGAGTTGGCTGAAGGCAAACTGTCGGAGTAACACCCACCAGCGTGCATGTCCATGTGTACACACGCCATTCACGTGACGCATGCGAGTATTGACACCTTCGACCTGCGATACGTCATGTCAAAAGGGTGAGAGCGGCTGTTACTCCAGCCCCTTCAGCTATATCACTAACTAAACAAGCCACATCAGTGAAAAGAGCAGGACTAACAGGAGAATCAGGGGGATAGAACAGGGCAACAAGAAGGTCTTCCGAAGCCCAAAGATATGTGCTATGACAGATTAAATCGTATGACCTTCAAAGAGGTGAAGTCTGATTACAAAAGTCAAAGTTGCTTCTGTACTTCTGCTATTATTTCGATAAAGGCATGTTCCCGAAATATCAGCCTACGTATATGTCCATTCTCCCGGTTTTTCCGAGGAATAAGGCTAATACCGCTGTCTTGTCTGGTTTAAATTTCGAGAAGCAAGTAAAAGCCTGGACTCGACAGCACTTGTACTTGCGTTATAACGCGACATATATCTAAATACGTCTGCGTGCGACTGGTGGATGGTATCCTGATCACCGTGATGTAGACATCACGGTGATCACGCTTACATCGTTATTTACATACTTACCGTGGTGTGTTAATGCTCGATCCCGTTTACCTGAGGCTCCCTTGTTCTGCCACGCTATGTTATCGCTATGGTACCCTGCATATTTGACTAGCTGTGAGAAAGGAAATGCAAATGGTTTGCTACCCTTAAAGCATCCCGAAGCAGTAGACCGGAAACTGTACATTGTATGTCAGTTGCGCTGCACTGCAGATCGGCATAGCAACCTAAACACAGAAAACAATAAGTACGTCGTCAGAGCAGGCAGAAATTTGGCTCCCGACAGGTTGTCTGCCCGTTGGTGGTAATGCAAAACGAATGCTGGGTGTGCATAATATGTGTTTAAAACATTGAAATTAAGCGAAAACCCGGCGACCGAGTCAGATAAGACACATGGGTAAACTAATTCGGCCGTCAGCAGCGCCAAAGGCTGCCGCCACAAATACGTAGAAGTCGATAGACCTTTAAGACTGATTAGCTAAAATTGTGATGGTTGCCATTCTTTACGGAAATATTGATGTTGACATCTTTGACCAGCGTTGACGCCTGAAGTACAATCAGCAAGAGTTCTATACTATATGCCTCTGGCATATTGGCATATATGGCATATATATATGCCTCTGGCATATACTCTCCACTGGCATATTGAGGGTTTACCGGTCGTCCGTTCTTTGCAGAGTTTATCATATTTGTGATAGCATCTGAAGGTGCCACCGTCCTTGAACGACCTGTCGCGTCAAGAAAGACGCGAGACCAATTAAAAACCATTTGTAACAAACGTTCTGTACAAATTGCAGCACAGTGAAAGGTCTTTGGACAAATCTAGCATATGTTAACATGCATGTTATTCTATATGCACAATCAGTGTTTGGTTTTCTTCTTTTTCTTATGCTTCCAGGATGGCATTGGCAATGTCAGGGTACAAGGTTGACGCTCTGGCACCATCGCGGAATTTCCCAATGGATTTTAAGAAGCCAGCAATGCGTACGCGTTTGCTTTGCACGCGAGAAGATGCGGTTGACATGCGTCACCAACGCCGTAATGAAATTCCCAATGCATATTGATTCCAGTGAGTAGAGGAGTGACGTCCCCTTGTCCAAAGAGTGACGATATTAAGCAGGCGGGCTGAGAGTTTTCGTGAACAAAACTGGGTGTTACCCGGCTTTGCTCTGCCAAACAAACAAACCACGAGAACATCGCCAGCACATTCTGTTTACCAAGGTGAAACAGCTTTGCCTAACCTCAACGGGGCAAACGGCCAACGCCGATCGTATTTCAGAGGGAGCGGAGCCGTTCGCCCCCCTTGGGGACGGGTCACGAGGTGACCTTTGACCTCGTCCGAACAGCGACGACCCCGTCCACAGGCGGCCCGTGTCGCGACTGACCGTGCGGCGGTGGCGGTGGCGGCGGTGGCGGCGGTAGCGGTGACGGTTGCGGCGGTGGCGGCGGGGGCTCCGGTCTGATGCGGAGGACGGGGCGCGGACGTGCACTGTGAGACCGGCGGCGGCGCGGGAGGTGATATAGCGGCGCGGTGCGGCGCGACGCGGCGCGCAGGCGCCCCCGGCCGCCACCGGGCCTGCGCGCCGCCCCGCACGATCGGTAGGCATGCCGAGTGCAGGACATGCTCGGCAGGGATAATGACTGGCCGCGTCGCACGATTGGCAAGTACGCATGCCGAGAGCAGGACATGCTCAACAGCGGCGATGACTGGCCGCACTGCACGCAGTGGGTAGGTATGCTGAGTGCAGGACTGGCTGGCCGCACCGCACGATCAGTGGGTAGGTATGCCGAGTGCAGGACTGACTGGCCGCACCGCACGATCAGTGGGTAGGTATGCCGAGTGCAGGACTGACTGGCCGCACCGCACGATCAGTGGGTAGGTATGCCGAGTGCAGGACTGACTGGCCGCACCACACGGCCGGTGGGTACGTATGCCGAGTACAGGACATAGTCGACAGCGGTGATGGCTGCCGGAAGACTAACCAATCGTGGGCTTTGGCTCCAAATAAAATGGCAGGAATCAGAACAATAAGGTACAGAATATTGCCTAAGTCAGTGCTGATTGTGGTTAGCGCCATGCAAGGTTGAGCAATCCACAATACTTCAAGGCGGTATCCTTGCTTCCGTTAACAACTATTAATAAAATATTCGGATCACATTTACTTACTTCGGATCATATCCGCCGGTAACGCACTTGATTTGGCGAGGAATTGCGGGGAGGCAACAGAGAGCGTTATCATTATTTATATTGTTCTGGAGCGTAAGTGGACGCACCCAAACTTATTCGAAGCCAATGTCAATGCGTTGTGGCCATGGTTCTGTCGTTTTCAGGGAACACGTATCAAAATGCATCGATTTTGAGTGAGTATTTGCCTGCCACTCTTTCTGTCCCTTATGGCTTCGTCTTTTTATGTTCAGGCTACAACGACCATAAATCGAGACCAGTTTTAAAAAGGTGACATCGACCCTATCAGGCCAATTGGTGACGCCGTCATAGATTATACAGTATTATGCTGGCAAAATCCAACAGGTGACGTGCGAAGCTTGGAACTGATCACGGCAGAATAATTAAAGAAATGGAGTGTAACAAGAGGCAACTGGCCAGAGATTTGCACCAAGTTGCGACACTCATTCCAAAATAAGAAGACGTCTCGCTCCTCTCCAATGTTCATTGCTCAAAGTGCGATATTTTGCATCACCATGGCCTTGACAGGGTTCCTATGTGAGAGACAAGCATCTTACTTGAGAAGTAGGGTTAACTGCACGGCATTGTATTAGACAATACCAAGCGTTAAAGTTCTGTCAACAACTAAAAAAGATGCGAAAAAGCGCAAATATTCCAATTATACCACGTCTGTTGGAGATGAGTGCCAGCGCTATGGAATCACGGCCTTCTCATCAGTCTAAACAAGAATGGGTCGAGCCATCTTCCTTGACAGGAGCATCCATTTTCGCCAAACCGTGCTGCTTGCCGCTGCAAACCGCATAGGGTGGCGATCACGCGGGTCAGTGAAGCCGACTGAGCGGTGGGCGCCTGGCTTCCGGAGATACCCACCGTATGGACAGTTGACGTTGATACCAGCCCTGCTTATGCCCTCGCTCTCAGTATTGATTCCTTGATAGGGACGGTGACGCGCATTGAGAAGGCTTGAGGTTACAATGCTCGAAGATTAAGGATGGAACGCAGCAGGGCACCCTTCGTGTCATATGGTGGTTATGCACAAATGCTGCTGTAATTATAAATCTTTTGATGACTGCATCCATCCGAGTGAGTAATACTGTCGCCACCAAATTACCACTGTTTCCGTTCTGGCAGACCGACTCAGAACAGTGCTTTTAATAGTGCTTATAATCGCTGCCAAATAATGTTGCAATTTGTGCGACAGCCCAATCTTCCATCCACCACTCGATGATAGCAAAATAAAGCATATAGGCTATACCGTACTTGGTTTTGGGAATCATCGGATTACGCGGGAACTCGCTTAACCTCACCGGAGTTCAACGAAGGACCAATCGTGAACGCGCCTTCGACGTCATTGAATTGCAACTACTCTTTCCAGAACCATTGGTCTGGGCCCTGTGTTAAGTTATTGCACTACAACTCTTTGTTTGGCCGCAGTGTGGCACTTTTCCTGTCACGAACCATACTCCTGCATCGCTATGGCAGGAAAGCAACTATGACTCGGGGTACGGGTTGGGGTCAGAATGCTAATTTTGATCGGCCTTCAACCCACTGGCCACGCGGCAGCGACTGAGAAGCCGACACACAGCCCGCTATCACTTCGTGTGCCAGCGGTGTGTCATAGCAAACGGCAGATAATCCCGGCACCGATAATATACATTATCTGTATCAACAGGGGCCCGAGTGACGAGGCAGTGGGATGTTACGAGATTACGACAGGATACCAAGCAAGGGGAATCAGTTACCGTGAGACAGCGTTTCCCAACCCCCTTTTGTTCCATTTCTCCCGGAAGATGGGCTGCACTGTGATTCCGCAAACTAAGCCACCAAACAATTAACCAAACGGTCAAACAGCTAACATAACGTGTGCATTCTTACCCCTCAATGTGGATAGAATCATGCAAGCGGCTGATGGGTCCAGATGAGCGCTATGCACAGCAATTATCCTTTCCTGCTGCGTTGCATGGAGGAGCCTCTACCCTTCCATAACCATCACACAGCCGAATGTTATATTTTATGTGGAGATGATCGCTATAAGCAAGCTGTTGAGGGTGGCTCACTGCTTACGTACTTCATTATACAACGCCTATTGATGTTTTCCTCGGAGATCTTTGGTGATCTTGGTCGCAGATCTTGGAGTGAAAATGAGGGCATGTACGAGCGCAGAACATGATCAATACTTGGCACGCGAGTGCGCCACCATTGCAGCGCGGCCAGAGATGCGACTGAGACCAACCGCAGGTCAACCGACAGCTGCAGAGTGACGGCGTGCCCGCTGATGTCACGCCCGACATGTCGACGTCCTCCCACGTGGTCCCAATCCCAGCTGATGTCACGCCCGACATGTCGATGTCCTCCCACGTGGTCCCGATCCCAGCTGACGCCATGCCCGACATGTCGATGTCCTCACACGTGGTCCCGATCCCGGCTGATGTCACGCCCGACATGTCGATGTCCTCACACGTGGCCCCGATCCCAGCTGACGCCATGCCCGACATGTCGATGTCCTCCCACGTGGTCCCGATCCCAGCTGATGTCACACCCGACATGTCGGCGTCCTCCCACGTGGTCCCAATTCCAGCTGATGTCACACCCGACATGTCGATGTCCTCCCACGTGGTCCCGATCCCAGCTGACGCCATGCCCGACATGTCGATGTCCTCACACGTGGTCCCGATCCCGGCTGACGCCATGCCCGACATGTCGATGTCCTCACACGTGGTCCCGATCCCGGCTGACGCCATGCCCGACATGTCGATGTCCTCACACGTGGCCCCGATCCCAGCTGACGCCATGCCCGACATGTCGATGTCCTCACACGTGGTCCTGATCCGAGCTGACGTCACGCCCGACATGTCGATGTCCTCCCACGCGGTCCCGATCCCAGGTGATGGCATCGCCACATCGAGACGGCCGTCATGAGGCTCCGCCGGGCCCGGCCACCCGCGGTCAGACGAGGCGGCGCGGGCCAGACGTGCGATACCATCGGTTGCACAACGAGTGACGGGGCGGCCGGGGGCGCGGCCGGGGGCGCGGCCGGCTTTAGGCCTCAGCTGGCAACCAAGTGCAGGTGTACCGAGGACCAATAAGTTCTGTCTCGGAGCTCTGTTCCGGACTGGACAAGCGGATGTGCCAGCACCAATCGTGATGTTATCATGCTGCAGTAGAAGCAGCACCAGATCGCAGTATTGCACCACTGCAAGAACGAAAGCCTGAACATACCATACAAGCATAGAAATGATGCAGCAGATATTTCAGCTCAGGGGGGCTTCCACATAAAACGCGAGCATTGAGGAGTGAATGGATATCATGAGGTGGAATTCAATCACCATTTACAATTTTGCATATGTATATTTACAACCGAGGCCGCAGGCGCAGGCTGGTTTTTTTATTCAGACTACGAACAATTTGCCACTTGATCAGCCCAGCCTGGCCTGGCCAAGTTGTCACGCTTTCAAGGCGTGTAAAGCTGTTGTGTCTCTAGAAGCTTCCATGTGAAGCTGCTTTAGAAGTCTTTGCAATCACTGATCGCACGTCCCTGCAGGTTTCAGAAACTTCAGAAACAAAAAGAATGGATATCATGAGGTGACGTAGGTGAGTATCGTAGTGGTGAGTGACGTAGGTGAGTACATGAGGTGAGTATCATTCTTTGAAAGTTTTGCCTCATATTTTCAGCATCTCTCTGCAAGCTATTTTATCAGACGGTTTGTTACGCGGCGTTGAAACATCACCACTATTTCATCTGTTCATTCTATTAAAATCAAACAAGCTAAATTTTCAAGTTTCGTCAAGGTTAAGGGAGCTAAGAAAAAACACGAGACCGGTGGACACCAACAAGAGAGGAAACGTGCAATCGCGATGGTAAAAGAGAGACTAGATGGGTTCCAAAAGCTCATTTGGTTAGAAATCCAGCTTTCAAACCCACCCACCCGTGGCGGGGTGTGTTCGAGTCGCTTTGGGTACTCGTTATTTGACTTTGACACATATGGTCTGTGGCCGGGGGCGGTGCTTAAGGCCAGGTGGCATCAGAGAGCAGGACAGACCGTGCCGACGCTAGCATGCTACACTTTCGACTTAGACTTGCAGCACGCTAGACTTTCGCCACTAAATTCTGCCGCTGATTTGGAATCGCACGAGCGAACGTTTGGAGTCAGGGCCCATACAAGCGCTGTCATCGTGTGCTTTGAATCCACAAATCCCTCCATTCAAAAGGTTTGAATGACATATTTATAGATGTGATTTCATATGCCCGTGCCATCGTACACAAATCATTGATTCGTCCGTCTTAGGGCGTTATAATAAGAATTCTTGCCGGATTTCGACAAGCTGAGCAAATACAACACATCCGCACGATGCAGGCACATACATCCACTAGAGCTAACAGGCCTTAATGCCACCCGATCCATAGACGCACTGGTAATGGGTCGGAAAACTGCCAATGCCACCGATTTCAAAACCCATCTTAAACGCAAGATGCTGCGGTCTGAGCAGAAAGAGAGACTGTCATACAAACTGCAGGGATGTATGGTCCTGTTTGCAGTGGCCAAAATGCACTCGAATACTCGGGTGCGTTCTTATTCTTTGATCACGTTTGAGAAAAACAACAATGCATCATTGCCAGTCCTGGCTGGGCTTAGAAGTCACTCAGTTTTCAGTCCATGCTAATTGCGAATTTGCTCGCAAATGCTACATCGATAAGCCTTATTCTGTTCAATCCGAGTGTCAGGTATTTTCCACGGAATTGATCAAACCCGTAGATGTCGGCTTCCAATGAAATCTGACCCTTTTTGTTGACCCTCTGAAATATTTTAGTGCCGTAGTTTTAAGCATCATGCACAAGATGATAGCCTACAACCTTCCCATCTGCCAACACTTCACTCGTTCCACGCTACGCGGAGCGCCGACTGGTGGCGCTTTTGCGTTTCGTTCAAAGCATGGCCTGAGCCATAGACGCATGACTCATTTATCCAAGCATGCTTTTGTAGGCGAGGTAGATCTTGCTATGCTAGCATAGATGCCAGGATGTAATCTGGTCCTCACAGCTATCAATATTAGTATCATTATCGTGGGTCGAAGAGGCGCTAACGCCATTTCAATACGGGGTGACAGTGAAGACAGTCATGGCTAAGATGTTCACACCCACCCTGTACCCACGTAGTCACACCCGCAACCGCGCTGTACCGGCGTGGTCACACCCGCACCCGCCCTGTACCGGCGTGGTCACACCCGCACCCGCCCTGTACCGGCGTGGTCACAGCCGCACCCGCCCTGCAAGACTTGACACCTCTCCGGGAAAGATTTGTGCCCAATTCCACGCAGCCCAAGGGATCGCGATCGTAAGTGGGACAGCAGTAATATCATTGGCATTATATTGATATGATAAGACAGCAGTAATATCATTGCCATTGTCAACAGCCTAATTATCATAATGAGGCTATCGCTGCCGTGAAAGATAAGGTAGACAGACATTTCCATGAAATTGACGCTTTCGGTCTATCAAAAGAGGATAGCTGCGGTCTTCTGAAATAGTGTCTCCAGGTTAACGCTTTCTCTTTCGGAGATGACTCCTATCGGTACAAATTGGGAATTGCAGTGGGGAGCCCATGCGCCCCTCCTCTGGCCATAGTATTTTTAGACCAATTTGAAACGAGTGGGCCACAAGCCCATTAAAACTAACTTTCTTAGCTAGGTACATCGATGATTACGCTGGGATGGACGCACGGACAGCGTTCTCTTGAAGAGTTTTTAGACTTCATGAGCAACCAACATCCAAATCTAGGTTTTACGATAGGGCATAAAGGGGGCGGGAAGGGGGTCCCATATTTGGATACACTTATGACGGTGGAAAGGAGGAGCTATTGACTTTGGTGTGTGCCAGCGGTGACTTTTCTTTTTTCGATTTGTGTGCAATTATGGGCCGCGCGTAATTTTCAATATATATATATATATATATATATATATATATATATATATATATATACATCACCAGATTCTGTGACCAGGCCATGAACACTCGTTGCCATGAATATCTTATTTCACTTGTCTGATTTGAAGACGCTTGCGAGCGCAATAATGGGCAACCCGCCAGGAATACGCTCTAGCTGGGGCTGCTTGCTTCGCTGGGGCACTGTTGCTGAAGCTGTGTATCATATGCATTGTTCACATATGATCTAAATAGGAGCGGGGTCGCGGGCCGAGAATGACAAATTTGAGGAGGTGAAACTGTACTCGTCATCGGTTCTGTCACGCCTTCCAGAGGCCAATATCTGGGCAACCACGCATCGCAGCTTCACGCTGTTGCCGGCAGATAAGAAGCGCAGCTAAAACAGACATGCAAATATTCAGGGATATTCTGATGAAGTGTTTGCCCAAAGGCATTCCTATAGCAATGCAATGTGAATAATCGCGTTAGCGTTCACCATTTGAATAACGAGAGAAATGTAACATTTCCTCATTGCAAAAAACCGCACAACGCCGGTCGGAGCCGGGATCAGGTCACGGCATGCAGCATCACAACAGCACCAAGCCCATACGGTTTGACGGAAGAAACAACGGAAACCCGTGCTAGCGAGCGCAGCCCGCTGCGCCCCGCTGTTCGCGAGCCTTCGGCGAAACTGGCGGACATGCCCACCATCTGGCGTGTTTAAGAGAGGACATCGCATCGCATCAACTAGAGCGGGTAAAGACATTATACAAGCTGCATTGTACAAGCCAACGTGCTATCTACCCACTGAGCGTTCTCGACACTGTCCAAGCTACAGGCGCGCCACCCATCGTGTCGTGACAAAGCCGTTGTCGGCTAGCCGATGCCACCGAGCTGTGGAACTGGCACCACTGAAAGCGCATCCTTGTGTATCTCTTTCAAGACTATCTCTCTGGTCCCTAGTTTCTAAATACAGAATTTAGATATCGTCATGCAGCTCAGCTACTGTTCTTTACGAACCTTATTACCGCTGTTTGCGTCAGCATAAGACTCCAGTGCAATAGCTGGCGGCTGCGGCGAGTGATAAATGGGGAACGCCTTAAGGCCGACGCACTTGGACGCGCCGCTTCGGCTCCGCCATCGACACTATTTTCAGCTGTTGGCCGACGAACCAGGCAGCATACAGATGCCCAGCAACTGGTACTGGGTGACATTGAGTATGCGGGGTAATTGGGTCGGGGTGGGTATCAGATCCATTCTCATCCGCGTGTCATCGGATACTTGCCCTCATTACATTTTGTCCTTTTTGAGACTTGCTGGCTGATGACATCCGGCCATGTACTTGCGCCACAGACAGCCGGCATTTGGTGCACGGTCGGGGCAGACCGTCGCCTCTTCAGCCTGTCGCCATTCTCGACAGCAGATGGGTACCATTCGAGGCCACGGATGGAATACCGGTTCGCAATATCATCCTCGTCTGGTATGGAAATATGTACTTAACGTTTCGGTCAGTGAACACGCACCCGGGTGGCCAGTTTAATGCCATGCCGCTCGGATGTGGACGGGGGTCAATATGACCCCTGGGATCTCAAACATAAGGGAGCTAGAGGCACTGAACTCATGGTATAGATAGGTCTGTATGTGAAGCCAATTTCGTAAAAATTTGAGCCTGTGTGATTATGGCCTTCAAGTCAAATATGGTCAAACAAGGTTAAACTCTAGATCGATATCCGACGTTTCTTCAGACCCCCTTATTCGACTTCCTTTAACCAAGATATATCTATCAAGCAAAGGGTCACTGGCACTCAATCCAGGCTGTGACCTTATCTGAACTTTAGAATGTCACGGTGACTAAAAATCTTCGAAATTGCTTTGACCTTTGAATTCCAATAAGCTCTGAGGATTACGCCAGGCGACATGTTTTTAAAAACA